GACCACGGCACCTGCGGCCGAGCACGCGCAACCTTTGGCGGTGTGTGCGTGTGTGCGTGTGCGCATGTGCGTGTGCGTGTGCGTGTGTGTGTGTGTGTGTGTGTGTGTGTGTGTGTGTGTGTGTGTGTGTGTGTGTGTGTGTGTGTGTGGATGGGGGGGGGGGGGCGTTGTCGTAGGAGCGCGCCCAGCCCGCCGTGCTTTTGCTGCCCGCCGAGGTCCGCCTGGCCGAGCGGCTTGGCAAGGCGGCCGTGCTTCGCGTGCGTGGCGAGCAGCTGCGAGAGCGGCACCGACCGGCCGAGCGAGCGGAGGATGGCTCCAACCTCTGCCTCGAACGTGGCGGCGGTCGAGGGGGCGGCGGCGGGCGCGGCGGCGGCGGGCGCGGCGGCGGCGGGCGCGGCGGGTGCGGGCGCGGCAGGTGTGGGCGGAGGCTGGGCCCTGCTCTTCACGAAACGTGTGCTCTTGCTGCCGGGTAGCTTGAAGAGCACCGCGGGCGCGCTCTTGAACGCCTCGCTGGCGGAGGCGTGCCCCGCCTCCTCCCACCACCCCTCGCCCGCCCCGAACCGCTCTCGGTAAGTGTCGTCCAGCTTGGTGGCCGTCCAGCCTGTAGGAGAAGAGACGTGTCAGCAGGCGCGAGGGCTGCGCACTGTCAGCTCGGTGGCAGGCCCGAGCCGTGCGACGGGATCTTGACCTCGGCCAGCAGCTGGCCCAGCCTCGCCTCGAAGGTACCGCTCGCCTCGAAGGCCGCCACCCCCGCCTGGGCCCGCGCCGCCGCCTTTTGCGCCGGCGCCGCTGCAGGAGGCGAGGCAGGCCGCGCCGCCTCCTCGCCGCCCGCCGCGTGCAGCCCGTTGCGCCTCGGCCGGTAGGCGGAGACCTGCACCTTCCGCTCGAACCTACACACGGGGAGCGGGGCACCCGTCTGGAGGGCGCCCCTCGCGCGTGCGGCGGGCCCGCGCCTCCCCGCGCCGGCCGCTGCTCGTGTCGCTCGGCACAAAGGTCGCGTTGTCGAGGGTTGCGATCGCGTGAGACGCGTCGGCAGCCCTCCTGAAGTGGACGACGGCGCACTGGCCTCGCCTCGAGTCGGTGCCGGCGCCGCGCGGCAGGAAGTCAACGCCCTTGACCGCGCCCGCCCGCTCGAAGAGGCTCTTTACCTCAGCCCTGGTCGCCCCCCAGTCAAGCTTACACACAAAGACTGCGTCCGCCACCGCCTCTCCGATTGGCGCGGCCAGCTGCTCGCCGCCGTGGACAAACTGGCACCGCTCGCCGTTGCGGCAGTGGCCCCTCTGGAAGTACGAGCAGAGCTGCTCGGTGCGGCCGTTTGCCGACGGAGGGCCAGGCGGCGGCGGCGGCGCCTCCACCACCCTCAACTCATGCCGCTTTATGTTCCACGTGCCGTTGGGGAACTTGACACGGACACGCCCAGCATCTTTGAGGAACTCGAGCACGACGCCCTCGTGGCCGGCCGGGATGTCGTCATCAGCCGCTGTCCACGTCACCCGGCAGTTCACTCTCAGGGCCGCTGCAGGCGCCGGTGCGACGTGCCTCGGTGGTGCGGGCCGGGCGGCGTCCGTTCCGGTGGAGGCAGGATCCCTCGCGCTCTCGAACGGTTCGGTGCGGAGCCTCAAGGGCCCTGTCGAGGTCTCGAGCACGGACCTTGCCAGGTCGCTGCAGGCCAGCTCGGCGGCACTCGGCGATTCAAAGGTGATGACGCAACTGTTGATTGGATAGCGCTTCATCTTCACGCTGAGCACGGGGCCGCACTGCCCGAAGTGTTCCATCAGAGCCTCCTCGGTTGTCATGCGAAGGTTATCGCCGCGCACGAACACTCTCGCCGGCATAACCGGGAACAATTCGGCCGTGCGCGTACGATGCGCCTGCGGCGCAAGCACGAAAAGCGCCCCGGCGCCGCAGGAAGGGAAAGAGATAAACTGGATCGGCTCGATAGGTGCTACGAAACTAACTCAGGCGCTTAAGAAAGCGCCAAGAGAGGGGGGGTGCCACCCCGGTGGCGGAAGGGTGCCGCCGCAGTGCCCACCGGTGCCCGCGAGGAGCGCCGGCCTTGGAAGCCAGCCGAGCCAGCAGCCGCCAGTGCTGCCGCCACGCTGCCGGCCACTCCCGCGCGCACGCCGCTCGCGCCCTCCTCCTGACCACCGCTCTCTGCGCACGCCTGGGAAAGAAGAAGAAATGTTGGGGCCGCGCGGAATTATTTCTTATCTCGGATTTATTTCTTAACGAGCTCGTATTTCTTATTTATTTGCCGGCACTCCTCGCCGTGCCTCCATCGCGGCAAATAGGCGCTCCAGCATCGATGCGGATCAGCTGCCTCGTCGTGCTCGCCGCAGTCTCGCCCGCCTGCCCGATGCTGCTGCGGCCGGCACCACTGCTGCGACCGCCGGTGGTGCCGCCGCTGCGGTCGTCGCCACCGCAGGCTGCGGAGCCAAAGCTCGGCATCGGGATTGAGGCGCGGCAGCGTCTCCTGCTGCTCGTGCAGGACCTCGCCTCTCGAGGTGCCACGCAGGCGCAGATAGAGGGCGGCGTCTCGCAGGCGGTGGCCGCTGTGTTCGCGCCGCCGCCGCCACCGGCGGCGGCCGCCGCCGCGGTGGCCGGTGTCAGCGCTCCTGCTGCAGCCGGCTCGACGGCCACAGGCTCGACGGCCGCACAGCTGGTCGTGCCAGCGACGGCCAGCGACGCACACAAGGCGCTGCGCGCGTCCTTCGGCGGGCGGTACACGGTCGCTGTCTCGGCGGCGACGCAAAAGTTCCTCAACTTTATCGTCGAGGACCGCACCTGCGTCTTCCGCTGGAGGTACTCTCGCGTCTACGCCGTCGGCTTCCGCGCGCTCTGCGACGCATTTCTGCGCGGCTCCTGCCGCACCGCCGCTGACGAGGCGGCGACCCGCGCGGCGCTCTGCGTGGGACTCGGGCTCGACCAGGCGGCGGTGTGGGCGGACGCGGCTTCGCTCTGCGAGGAGGCCGCCGGACTGGACAGGCAGCAGCTGCTGGCGACGGAGGAGTTTCGACAGATTGCGGCGGCGCAGGGCAGTCTCAAGTACACGTACACATTCGGCGTCGGCCTCGTGATGCTCATGCGCGCCGTCGGGGAGACGGAGTTGTCGCCTCCGCCACGCACCGTCACCTCGGGCATCACAGCGTGGTGCACCGCGCTGGACCTGCGCTTCGCGACCCGGCTTGCGTCCGACTACACGCGGCCGCTCTCGATCGATGGCATCGGCCGCTTCGACTTTTACTCAGAGTCCGGGCTGGAGGACGCTTCGCTGGTCAGCATCGGGCAGGAGGGGAGCTTCTGAAGGGGTAAGCGGGCGTTGAGCATCCACGCCGCACGCCCACGCGCACAATCCTGGCAAACCACACGCCCCGTGGTGGCGGTCTCTCTCCGCTCTCGCATCTCTTGTACTCGTCATACTCATTGAGTGTAGTTGTCTTTATCGACGTTCTGGTTCTGGTTTCTGGTTTCCGAATGCATGCCGCTTTTTTGCTGTTCCCACTTGAAAAAAATCGGATGGGGGACACCTGTTCATTGGCCGGAATGAGCTCATTAGGACGAAGCGGGAGATGTATTCACACCGCAGAAACCAGACCCACAGGCAGATCCCACGGGAAATCGAGGCGGGTGTCCCAGAAAACAGATCCCAGAAAAACCAGAGAGCGCCGCAGAAACCGACCGACCCCTGGGTTTTCGGCTATGGGAAACCGCCATGGGAAACCGCAGCAGAAACCCGATGGGAAACCGAGGTCTGGTGTCTGTGCTTTGACCTTTGTGCACGAATGAAAAGAGAACGCTCCAGAACCAGAAACCCCAGTGACGCCAGGTGGAAGCTCAAGCAGGAAGCACAGAACTCCACTCTCCAGCGAGCAGCGTCCAGCGAAGCTAAAAAGAGAGGGCCCCGCGGGCCGCGCGGCGCGCCCACTCATACCATTGCGAGCGTGGTGATTCCGCGAGGAGGCGGGGCCGCCATCGATCCCGCCTCGAGGGCCTCTGGGCTGAGGTTGGTCTCATCGTTGGGACGTTGTTGCTCGTGGGAGAGCGTGCTGGCGGCCAGTGGCATCGCATTCGGAAAGGGAGGCGCCTGGCGCATGCAGGACGGGCTGAGGGTGGGTGCGACAAGTGTACACGGGGTGAGGGGGGTGGTGCGGGGAGCGCACCTTGCAGAGCGGGCAGGTCATCGCCGTGCCACTCTCGGCGGCTCGAAGCAGCCAACAGCTGATGCACTCGCGATGGAAGGCGTGCGCTGCGGCGCCAAAAGGGCGAGGGAGGCGTCAGCGCGCTCACCGGACCTGGGCTGGTCGAGAGGGGGATGCGCACCGCACGGCAAGACTGCCATGTCCCCGCCCTTGCCAAAGGCCGTGAGGCAGATAGAACACTCCTCGGTCTCGTCTTCAGCCGTCGCCTCGCGCCCCGACAGTCCCCTGATCTGGGCTTGCATTGCCGCCCGGTACGCCAGGATTGCCTCTTGCGCTGCGATCGAGGCGGGTGCGGGCGCCGATCGGGGAGGGGTGGGGCGGGCAGTCGTGCTGGCTGAGGCAGAGGGGTGGCTCGCCCTCCGCTGCGTGGCGCCGATCGATGAGCTTGCAGTAAAAGACGAGGCCGACCATGACGATCGCTCTCATGAGCACAAACCTGACACCGTGGCAGGCGCGCCTCAGTCTCCCTCGCCCTGGAGAGAGGCGCGCAAACAAGTGCGGTGCGGGCAGGGGCGGGCGTCGGAACCAGATGAGCGAGTAGCTCGAGGGCTTCATATCATCAACGCCCTCCTCCGAGGCCGACGGCGCGCCGGCGACCTGGGTGTGACTTGATGTCATGGGTCCTGGGCGGGAAGGAGAGTCGTCAAGGCCAGCAACCCTGGGCAGCAAGGGCAGGGCCACGGCGAACGGGGCTCTGGGCAGCAGGGGGAGCGCAGGCAGGGGATAGCACCGGCCGGGGTGAGCTGGTCCGCGCCCAGCGGTCCGAGAGAACGTACGAGTATTTACCCCGGACTTCCCGTCATGGCGATCTTTCCTCCGGCGGGCTGAGCACCGGCCGCCGAGCACTTTGAGCACGAACCGATCCGCGCGCGAGCTTGGAGCCTCGGACGGCGCGCTGGGCAGCGTCGGCGCCGGTCGGCACCTCGGCACCTGCAGCATGCTAGTTGGCTAGATGGGCGGTCTTGCGGTCTGACCTCCAGGGGCGAGAAGTGACTGAGGTAGGTAGGTAGGTAGAAAGGTGAAGAACAGACTGAAAAGGCAAAAAAGAAAAATCGCTCGCGTTATACCCGGGAACACATCCCTTGCGACTGAGGTCTCCACCCAGCCACCGCATCTCATGTTCGCGCTCGCACACCACC